ACAGTTCTATATATACGTATAGATAATTCTTAAAAGTACTTAATTTACCAGAGAACCATGATGCACCGGCAAAGTCGATTTCTCCTTTTCTGCCTTCCGCTTACTCCGGATCGTCCTTCTGCACACTATATTATGCACCTCCTCGTCCAAGCGTGGGTTGAGGATAGATGATTTCTGTTTGTCTTTGTAACCGGCTTTTCGCTTCGAAAGAGTTTTTATTATTCACTCGCGTGTGACTACTTATGGTCACTTACGTTCTTTCGATTTTCGCGACCGGTCCCTGCTCGGGCGCCAGTTTTCTCCCTACGCACTGGGAGGATTAAAAAAAACAATTTTTGTTTTTTTGGAGACGAGCTCCGTTCTTTATTCGATGCAACGAAAATACCAAAAGCCCCTTATAATTAATTGTTACTTCTATTTAAACAATATTTTATAACTTAGTTCTATATTATATGTTGTTGTAGTTTTGTCACCTGAGCTGCGTTGTCACTTCTTGCTGATAAGCAAAAGGTCGTCAGCGGAAGTGCATTTCCGCAAGTGCACTAATTTCAGTGGAGTTGGCGATTTCATAATAAAAGTTATGTTTTGTTTAGTCAGCTTGGGAACGGAATTAATTTATATTGAATTTTAGAGTTTAGGGTGTTAACTTACATACAGTATATGTGTGTATGTATGTATGTATGTATATAGATATTTGCCTTTTGCATACTCTGGTCAAAGCCAGTCATATGTATGAATTTTTTTTATTTTTTTTTTAAATATTTCTTAATATTAACACATAAAGAACCAAAAAACAGTGTTTTTAAAGCAAACAGTTATAGAGTCTGTAAGTTGATGAGTTCTGTGATAATCACAACAACAAAATGGAACAAAAACGCACCAAAACTAAATTATCCTGAAAATGAAAGCAAAAAAAGATTCGACAATTACACAGAAGAGCGAATTCCAATGATTAGCGGTGAAAGTTACTATCGGTTTGAATATTTTCTTTATCATTGTTATGCAGCATTCAATTTAGAAGCGATATTTAAAGTAAATATGTAAGTGAAACGGTAAACATGGGTCGCAAAAAAAGAAGTGTCTGAAGAAATCAAAAATCTGATCGTTATACATTTTAAAAGTGGATTAACCGAAACTAAAATAGCCGAACTAGTTGATAGGCCGCGAACAACTGTCCATTATATAATATTATAAAAAAATGGAAAGAAAAGGCGGTTGAAAATCATCCAAGGAGTGGTCGCCCATAAGCCTTAACTAAAGTAGACGAACGTTGGTTGGTTCGCCAGGTCAAGAAAGAACCAAAAACAAATGCCACAGAGTGGTACAATATAGACGCATCCATAACAAGAAAGTTGGTCGAATCAATACCAAGACGTTATAAAGAAGTAGTCCGAAGTAGAGGACGCGGTATTAAAAAAGTAATTTTTTGTTTTCAAACTTAGATTTTACATGAACTGTCGAATATTTCTTTTCTTTTTTTTTGCTTTTATTTTTGGAGTAATTCAGTTTTTGTGCTTTTTTGTTTAGTTTTGTAATTTTTATTATCAAAAAACTCATCAATTTACAAACTAAATAAATGATTGCTTTAAAAAACACTGTTATTTGGTCTTTTATTTATTTATATTATGGAATATTTTTATGTCGAATCCTTTTTTTTTCACATCCCCAACATACACTAGCGCCGAATAATGTTGAGAAGCTTATGAAATTTACAAGTAATTATTTTATGGCCTATACGAGTTAGTTTTTAGAGATTAAGATTTGTCTCAGTACGTAATTTGACTGTTTTGGCAATCAAGAATACACAAATATACTCACAGTTCTTAAGCCACGGTTTTTAAATCTTCGAATACAGTGTTCAAGCGTTCGCTCTTTTGCCGACACGAAGGTAAAAGAAAAAAGGTATCATGGTGTCATTGCCTTTTCATTTCAAAAGGTCAATGAGCGATAAAGAAAATTTGAGACATGAATATTTGAATATTTGAAAACTTGTTAAAGCAAAAATTTCGAATCATGCGTGACCACTCTGTGTTATTAAGTGCGGAAATTAATTGATAACCCTGAAGGAAACACTAGTAATTTAGTTTTTACCACATTTGTATGTTTATTTAAATATTTTTATTAAAGTTTTAAACCATTCCTTAACGGCTGATAAATTTGTACACATAAATTAAGAAAGTCTGTAATTTCTTTAAGACAGAGACTTTCGAAACTGCATTTGGAAAATTCAGGGTGACACTTCAGAGATATTGAGCCTGACCGTGTGGATGGTACTCTTCTTTTTAAGTTTCATACAAACCAGCTGATCTAAATGAGCACAAGTGATATCCCTCAAGAGTAATTATATTTGCATTACTTC